AGCCTAATGTGCCTCTCAAAGAGTAATATGCATAACAAATATTTTAAAATAATTGTCATTTGTTTGATAAAGAATATGATTTTACCTGTAAACAAATTTAAAAATTTAACTTTTAAAGTAATCATGCCAATATCAAATGCAAAGGCGGTTCTGGTCAAACAATCACTTTAAGATGTTTTTGCCATTAAGTTATTTTATATCATGATTTGAAATTAGGAATTTGGCAATGATTTTATCGTTTATTGAACAGCTTGTTGAGTAATGCACTAAACCAGAGAAATGGGTCCTGACTCTGCTGGCCTGACCTTCTCTGTTTCCTGCCTGATGAAGGGGAACACAGCAGCTATATTCTTTGAGGGCTACCTTCAAGAACAAGGGGAGTTGAGAGAGGGGCACAGAAAAGATCAGAAGGGGTAAAAACTGGGAGGAATCCAGAGACATGGGAGGAGGTGACTGAGGACCCAAGAGTAGGGACAAAGAGATAAGGCCTCTCCAGTCAGCATTCTGGACTCTATAACACCCTGATGTATCTCTTAAATATGTTTGTCCCGGGGACTTTTTTAATTAGATCAGGTTTGGGGAAATGATGCATTTCACATAGATGCAAGTCATAAATAAAGAACACACATCACAACAGTTTTTTAACCTCTATAGATAACTAGCTCAGTAAACTCAAAGATAAGTTATTTTTTTTTCGATAAGTTACAAATTTAAAAACTAAACATTTTCTTTTTTAAAGCAGAACAACAATTGCACCTATTATTCTTTTTATATGATATGACAAAACACTAGGCTATATCTTTTGTACTTCTGTGCATTTTCACGATGAATGATCATCTGATAGGAATAAATTGGTTTAGACTATAATGGGAAATATGTTGACTGTCCTAACACTTGAAAGCATATGCCTACCTAAGTAATCAAAATATTAATTAGGCAGTGAGAAACATGCAACTTCATAGAGCTGGGATGTTGGACCCTTCATCATCTATTTGGACCAAAGTAGATCAGGTGGAAAACTTTTGGAGATCATAAAATTTTGCCAAATATTAGGGGAGAGAAATGGGAAGGACAAAGAGAAAAAGAAAGCTACTTTTTTTTTTATTTGTCCTTTAAGGAACACTATTTATCAGTGCATGAGTCTCAGGAAGTTTTCCATAACCATTTGGCTGAGTATGAAAAGTGAATATGAAGATGGAACAGGTCATAACCCACCTAAGGGCTCTTTGTCATCAATTAGCTTCTGACTCATTTAGGGTAAACTGCCAATGAAAGTCCTTTCCATTGCTATGAAAGTGGGCATATGTGCTCTCCCTACACTTAGATTTAGCAGTTTACCCTCGTGCCAGTTGACATTGTGGGGCACATGATAATAGACATTCTTCATTAAATGTGGATAGTCAGAATTGCATGGGGAAATTTAATAAGAACAATAATGTATTGCAGTGTTCTCTTAAACTGTGTGTAATTCACAGTTTGTGTGTGAATTTTTACTATATGAGTCTTTGAAACAGGATACAAGTAGGTCAAAATATTTAGATTTTACATTCATTTTTGCTTTTTTTTTTTCACTAGTGACTTAGCCTTCGAGTGAAATATGTATGCCACCACCAAATTTGAATACTTTTCTATCTCTAATCATACCTAATTGCTAAAAAGCCTCAGCTTATTTAATGCATACCATCGTTCCTACTTAAGTTTGCTACTAACAGGACCACTTCTGTTCCAGGTCCAATAAGATGAACTTGCTACTTCAACTTGGTTTTGCCTACAAACCATTCAGAAGTTAAAGCTAATTTCATGTGTTTCATTATTTTAGTCCTTCCTCCTTCACTCTCTTTCACTTATTTTTTAAAATTTTTTTTATCACATTCTGGGGCAAAGAAAGGGAGAAAAGACCAAAGTAACTTTGGTTCATTTATTGTAGATTATTTTAATTATTAAAAGTCTTATTTTTGTTTAATAGGGAGTATAAAAAGAATGCAAAATTCTCAAATCCATGAAATAGATTTTCCACTTTTTATTTTATTAAAGTTTCTTTTTTTCACATTTTCCTAAATGGTTAAAAGATGATTGCATTTCTCTTTTATATCTTTTGGGACGTATGTAGAAAACATTGATCTTTATTCACCATTTTGTACTATTTTCTACTTTCAAATTAGGATGAAATATCCTCAGTAATTTTTCAGTTATCATCACAATAAAGCATGAATGAAAGTTGATAAGTGAAACCACATTTATAATTCATGAATATATTTAAATTTCTCCAGCCTCTTGTTGCATGTTTGGGAAAGATGGCCCATTAACACATAAATACCTTTGATCTTAGAACAAAAGTTAAGGGAACTATCAATCAGTCTTCAGATTTGAAGCATCAATAGAAAAAAAAAAGATTAATTAATCAATTAGAAATGGAAGCAACTGCATATTCCAAACAGATCTATAATACCTGTTGTCATTAAAATTTAAAGTAAATGTGGGGATAATAAAATATTTCTTCTTTGGGGTTAGATTTTAGTGATTTGAGGGGATCATATGTTACTTAAAAATACATATGCTATTTGGAATCTTTATATTTGAGCTACATGGAAATTGTTTTTGGCCTAGTGACTTGAGCAACATTTTGGCTGGTATTGATAAATTGAAGAATTTCAGGTTTTGCTTTCATCATTGTGGTTTCATGCTAGTGTCAACACACATCTGTTACTGGTGTTTTATATCCACAGTTGTTTTGAAACCATTTCAGATGTATTTGAGAGATAAAATTAATATTCTTGGAAAAGATAGTCTATTTATGACTGCAGTTCCTGACTAGACATATAGTTTCTTCGTATCAAAAATTAATCCTTCCATTTCATTAAAAGGTTATTGTTGTATCCCCCACTTCCATTCCCTACTGATAGACAAAAGTGAGATGATTGTGAAAATGTGTTTCAAGTGAAAATATTCCATCAGATGGGGAAAAAGCATTTAGGTAACATTTAAGTAAAATTCCCTTTTTAGCTCTTGAGACAGTCTGAGCAAAGAATGCTCTGCAAAAACTGAGAGTCGAAAGTTGTCATTCAGGGAAAGTTAGAAGCTGAGCTAATTGGCACACTTTGGCAAAGATGACTGTATTTAAACGAGAAAGTGCTGCCTTTGGTTTGTCAGGTAGTGACAGAGTTACTGCAGTAGGCTCTATGCTTCTTGAGAGGAAATTAATTTCCTGCAATCAAATACCCTGGATTATAGTCTTTGTCTCCTCTGTCTTGGCCACAGAAGTAACACCAAAGCTTTTTATTCAGCAATGTTTCATGGGCTTTGGTAAAACAAGCGGTGACATAATCGGCATAGAACAGTTTCACCTGCTACATTTCATAGCTCCAGTACATAGCATATTGCTGCTTTGAGACTGAGAGCTTTTACTTTGCAAGTGGCTATATTTATAAGACTTTATTTTGGGGAGGAACAGAAAATGACAGCAAAAAATCCAACATGTAGGCAGAAGAAATCTTAGTGATATTTGAAAATGGAGTTACAAAGCAGTCTAGGGCTATGTGTTTTGGTAAATGATTTTCAGTAATAAACAAGAATTTTTGTAGAAATACAAAAGCTGATTACTAAATGATGTTTAATAGTAAAATAAGTGTACAGTGTGTCTTCTTGAGTTGTTCAATTCCTGCTGTGTGTGCATACATACGTATATATCACAGATATATACATGCATGATCTATATATACATGTGCAAGCTTGAGATTGTTTAAATTCATTGTGCATAATTTACAAATAATGTTTTGAAAGTTGTAACATTTTAATCCATTATATCTGAAAAAAATAATCTTTTTCTATAGGAGAGTGGAGAGGAATAATAGCAAAATCTTTAAAGAAAAATTAGCTAGGGTCAAAGAAAAATAGGATTTTTTAATAATTCCTATTTTTTTATAGTTTTTTAAAAAAAGTAGTGTATAGAGAAAAGGAGCTGCCTATCCTCCTCCCCTTTTGGCCTGCTAAATTCCAGCTCTTTTCTTTGCCTTCTGTGGTGAATGGCAGAGCCTGCCTGGCCCTTGGTGAAGACATTAGGCACCCTGTAATTCACTGCTTGTTCCCAAGAATAGCTTTATTTATACTTTGGAAAGACTTGAATGAAGGTTTTGTCAGGTGAAGAAAGCTAGGCCAGCCAGTCTTCTCTTACCATCTATTAGTAGTGAGTTTTGACTAAAAACCATTCTAGGAGATATTTAAAATGGAGAAAGAATATTTCTTACTTTTGCCTCCAAAGTTTGGCTTTGAAAAATCATTCAACCACTGTCAGTGTATAAATAGAATGCGTAAATATTTATATAAAAGAATGACTCCCCAGTAGAAAAGGAAATTAGGTGTTTTAGTTTATAAAGAGGTGACTAAAATTATACTTTAAAAAGCAGACAAACTATTTTAAATGGCTGGATTATATCATTATCTAATAGTGTGTTCATTACAATACCAGGCAAAAGGATTTCTAATATAGTCCTATATTATAGCTGTCCTTATTTTAGTCCAGAGTTAGTCTTATTCTGAAGCAACATCAATTTCATTCTTGTTTTTTTTTTTTTTTTTGGTGGTGGTGCTGGGAATTGAATCAGGGCTTTGTGCATGCGAGGCAAGTACTCTACTACTTGAGCTATATCCCCTGCCCCAATATCAATTTCATTCTTAAAATGATTCCTTCAGATATTATAGGATAGAACTGTTCTGATTTTATTTGACATGTTACACTTAAGGCTTTTCACCTTAAGTACTAACATGGTCCTTTAGAGCTAGTTGGAGCTGATTTGGGGCTGTGCTTCTAAGACACTGTGGAAGAGGTAGTCCCTAGTTTTAGTTTGATGATGCACAAGGATTACTCCATTAACAGCAGTATAATTTTCCTAAAGCAGTAGGTGCTATTCCATTAAACACTCAAATAGATGGTACATGTTAGTATAGTTCTCTAGCATTCAGGAAACTCAATGATCACTTTGTTCTCATCCTGTTTCTTACAGCCAACCCCACCCGAGTAGGAGGGAGAGAGCCGTACCCAGGCTCTGCAGAAGTGATCCGGGAGTCCAGCAGTACCACGGGCATGGTCGTCGGGATAGTAGCTGCAGCTGCCCTATGCATCCTCATCCTCCTCTATGCCATGTACAAGTACAGGAACCGGGATGAAGGCTCATACCATGTGGATGAGAGTCGAAACTACATCAGTAACTCAGCACAGTCTAACGGGGCTGTGGTAAAGGAGAAACAACCCAGCAGTGCGAAAAGCGCCAACAAAAATAAGAAAAACAAGGATAAAGAGTATTACGTCTGATCCCAAGATCTTAAAAGGACACTTGTATAGAAATAGTCTTCATTTTATCTGAGACATAATATAAACTTATTTACTTTCCTTTTTATGAAGCACATACAAAAGAAGACAGGGAATGCAATCAGGAAGGAAAGACTGTTTTTAAAAAAAAACAAAAACAAGTATCTCATGCTCTTGTTTCTCAAAAAACAAAACAAAAAAAAAAAAAGAAAAAAAAAAACAGGGGCCAATAAATTCCCTAACATCCGCAGTGTTTTCATTTACTCTGCCTGTCTTTATGTTGCTGGAACATTTCTAAAAGACAGTGATGACCGCACGCATTCATAAAGCAAAGGAGTATTACAAAATCAAGGCACAACACAAAAACAACACAAAACATAACACAAAAAAAAGAAGCTACCTATGATCCTGGATTTAGCCAAAGTGCTAGCGCTTTCCTGAGAAGTCAGTTAGTCCCATTGCCAGAGAAGACTGTCATTTTGAGTGACTCAACCTGCAATCCTTTAAGAGTTTGCCGCCTGGTGCAACTGGAGCAGTGGTTGGAACTTGCATTTGAAACAAAGTGCTGGCTTTTTTGAAGACTTGTGTAGGAACACATTCAAAAAGCCCCTTTCTGGTTGTAAGAGAAAAAAAAAATACGGAGGCCTTATTTTCAAAAATGTGAAATATAAGGCACATTTTCACACTCAAATTTCAAAAAGAAAAACAAGAGGGCATAGATGCAATCATTGGGAAATTTTCATGCACGCTTACTATGTTATTACATATGTTTATATAAAATCCATCTCTGTGTGCTTTCTGGACTGTGATAAGTGATGTTTTATAGCCTGTTGTATAGAAAATGCAAAATATATCTGCTCTTCAGCCATTTTTGGTAACTCAATGTTATAAGTGTTGCTAAATATAGGGAGTTTTATGACATCAGAGCAACAATTATTTCAGTCAATTTTTTTTGCCACCATTATAAATTGCCACACCTTTTTTTTTTAAAAAAAGAACAATTACAGTGTAGTGTTTATTCTAAGAAAGATATGTATGAATGTATATAAAAAGACTCAGCTACTTTTTTTCTTATATGTACAGCCTTCATTCTGTTGCAATTAAGTTTTAGTATTTGTATGAAAGGTGTGAATTAGAAGGTAAAATATATACACAAGTATCTTACAAACTTTTCTCCCCAAAATACTCACGTTCCCACATACATTCACATTCTCAATTACACATACACACACACACACACACACACACACACACACACACACACACACACACAGGAGTCCATCAGATATGATAAAAGACCCAAACATGCATATAGTCACAAATATTTACTGACAAATTGAAAAGCAGGAAGGAAGATAGTTGTGCCAAGGTATTATAATAAGTGGGGTGATTTGCTTTCTTGAGATCTTGCTCCCAGGAAACCCCAAGAAGATTTAATCCCTAATCAAACAGAATACCACTGGTATACTGCTGCATGAATAGGAACCGTTATGTGGGCAGGTAACAGAAGCAAAATTGGTTGATCTACACCTTAACTCTGGCTGCTGCAATTAAAAATTTTGTTTCCAACAAAATAATATATATACATATATATATATTCTCTGAACCTGATGTGCATGATAAAACTTTTTGGAAAGTAAACAGTTTCTCAACTAAAAAAGTATTTTCAATAATTTTTGATTCTGTATTACTACCCATTTAAAATTGTTCTCTATTTGTTGATTATTGACTAAATTTTAACTTTTCTGGTTTTACATCTATATCATTAAATATAGTTTTAGTTTAACATACATTAAGTATTAGGAAAGTATAGAATATACACTTGTTTTGCATATTGTTTCAATGATGTTCATAGCAATAAATTATTAGTATGAGAAAGTAATGCAAAGGACATGCATTATTGGATTGCAAGGAGATGCATCAGTAAAACTTGGTCACATTACTTGAATGTGTCCTAGAAGAATGATTCTAGATTTCATAGGAAAGAATACCTTTACAATTAGCTTTAATCAGCAAGGGCAAAAAATGCAAAACATCTTTTGTGACATTTTAGTTGATATAAAAATGCCAATAAGTGGCTTGAACTTCAGACATACAGTACCTTAGAAATATGTATAATTCATAGCAAATCACCACTACCTATGGTTGCCAAGTAATTGTGTAAGAAGAGTCTTAAAGGCTTTACATGACCCAGAAAGTAGATGCTAAAACTAAAATTTGATATCCCTTCTGTTTCAGGTTTTACTTCTTTTTAATTTGCCAGGTTAAAGAATTCACAAGTCTTTTTTTTTTGTTCCTCCCCTCTCTTTCAGTCTTACTCAGGGAAAGCCAGAAAAATAAAAGGGAATATAAAAACACTCATCTACAACTAAAGGTTAAAAAAATATGGTTGCTTTAATATTTAATCTATTGAACTTGAACTAGTTTCATCTAGAGAGAGTCTAAAATATGATAGCAAATAAATTGAACAGTGGTATTTTTAAGCAGTATATTTGTGAATCATGATGTTTGGGATTAATTTCAGTGTTTCTTCCCAGAATAAATTTTAAAATTTCATACAATGATGCAATCTAATATTGCCAGTAAAAATATTTCTAATGTTATTGGTCTACATGAAATCTAGCAGTTTTCTTCCTGAATGGAGAAAGAAAAGAGAGGAACATGAGTTAGGGAGAGAAAGAGACTTGAATACAATCCAAGTATCTTCATACCAAATGTATCAGGGTTCATGCATAATTTGTAATTAGTAGAGAATTTCACACTACCTGGCATAAATTTGATTACATCTCTAGACTGTAACTTTTCTGATTGAGTATGCTTCTTTTATATCCATGTAATATGTTGCCTTTAAAAAAAAAACAACTACTACAATAATGTGTGAGGTGGTCAATCCCTATGACATCAAAGAAAGGCCACATGATCTTACCCTTCTAGTGCTTTGTGTGATTGGGTATCTAAGGGGTTTGTTTTGTTTTGTTTTTCTGTTGCAAGGCCAATTTATCCATTATTGGAAATGCTAAGCAAGTGGAATTTACTGTTTTGTTAATAAAATATTTCTTAATACAACTGTGTTTTATTGATTGAAAAAATTACATGCGGCAAGCTGGGCATTGTGGCACATGCCTGTAGTCCTAGCTACCTGGAAGCTGAGATGGGAGAATTACAAGTCTGGCTAGGTTGGGCAAATAGTGAGAAGTGAGACTCCATCTAAAAAAAAAAAAAAAAAAAAAAGGAAAGAAAATTACAGATGGCTCTATTTTACAATAAAGTGGAACAATAAGGAAGACTACCTTTGAAAAGAAATTCCATCCTAAGGTGGCAAATAGGAGAAACATATTGGCGTGTTTTTTAAATTCAAATATACATTAAACATCTCTACTTGAACACACAAATTCATAAAACTCATTGAAAAACAACAGTCCATGAAGATGCTGATTTCATAAATATGGTTTTCTCTGTAAATACAATGGGATCCAAGTTAAATGAACCTGTGATAAATTCCAACACTATCAGTCACTTGAGGCATTCATTCTCATGAATGCTTCACATTCATTTAATGGTACTACAATTTACTTAATTTCTTTGATTCTCACTTTTCTTATCTGAACATTAAGTATAATAACACTATCTTCTTAGGTTGGTAAATGTAATATTGAACTAATCTACCTACCACAACTAAGGACAAATTAAAGGTGGCCACCAGCAATATTATTATAGCTTTGAGAAAAACACATCAGAAATGTGTGTTCAGTTTGGGCTATTTGAAAAATAAAAATTTTTTAAAAAGACCAACACAAAACAAAAAATAAACGTATAAAAGAACACATTTGTTTCCATATAATTATATGCTATTTACAATTCACAAAGCTTAGTCACTTTTTGGAAGTCAGATGACTCATCAGCAAGTTTTAGTTGAAAAGTTGTGTTTTAAAACCTTGGTCTTCAAAAAAAAAAATTCTTCATAGAAAAACTTCAGTTTGGCCTTTTCATTTTTCTTTTTTCAATGGCCAAAGGCTTAAACACGAATGTTCAGTCAATTTTGTTCCTATCTTGCTATAGATACATGTTACTTCTTAATAGTAATGCATGATCTTTAAAATTTAATATGGAAAACAATTCACATTTCCTTAATATTTAAATGAAAGACTATATAATTTACCTCACCTTTAAAATGTATGGCATTTCACTGATGGTGACCATTTAAAATCTATGATCAGCAAAGACACCAAGAATTCTTATGTTCTTGACCCTGGAGGCATAGAACACTAGAGTCACCAGGTGTTAAAAACATAAATGCACATGCATATACACATATATTAGGTATGATATATATACATATATATATATGTAATAGGTATAATATATAATACCTATATCTATTATATCTATATAAGAATTATATTTATAATTATATATATGTACATATGAAATAATTTTGCAAGTGTATATAGATGAACATTTTCCTGGGAAAAGTGTTTCATTATGGCCCTCAAATTCTCTAAGGACTCCAAAACTTCCCAAAAGATTGAGAGCCACTGAAACAGACATTAGATATAAACAAAACTGTTATAAAAGTTATACTAAGGATGACTGATTCAGTCAATATTTAGAAGGCATAAAGGAGATGTCGTGAACTAACTTTAGCAGTACTGTGCTTTGAACAAACGAAGTACCCTTCTTGATAACTAAATGTCCCGCTATGTAACTGAAATTCAATCTTGCTTCATATTGACAAGTTTAACTTTCACATATTTACTAAGCACTATATATATAAACTCTGTCTATACCACATATATCCATTCTCATGAATGCCTTCACATTCATTTAATGATAAACTTCAAGGATTGAAATGTTTGAATTAGTACCTTGAACACAGGCTGTATATATCCAACATGTAGCAAGGTCCTGGTTAATAAAAGCATCTGTCTTTAAATATGCAAAAGTTATCTATATTTGAAAGTGGCAGAAAGACTACAAAAACTCCATAATTGATCAAAATATATGGCTATATTTAAATAAAAAGGAGAAGACAGCTTTTTATGAGAGTTATATTAATAAGGCATCATTGATCTCCTTGATAATTTTTCTTTTATCAAGGGGGCTGAGTGGTTTTAAATCAGCAATAATTATGTCTTGGGCTTGTGCAAGTCCTCATCGTTGAATGCTGTTTCTCCAAACTCTGGGTGAGGAACGAAAGTATTCAAGTGGCATCTGATATTACTCATCTGAATTCCACACTTGTTAAAGACATGGCAATGGTTTGTGAAGTTTTATGGAGTAATCTTGCTTAACAACACACAATAACTCCTTGAAGGGGAAAAAAACAACAACAGAATATTGAGCCACATTGTCTCTCCTTCAATAAAAGTAGCAATAAATAAAACAAGTCTTATTGAATGCTTCTCGCCTGCAGTAGTTCAGATGTTTACTGTTAAGAACAATGTCCTTTTTAGTTACATCAACAATCTCAATTCTAATCTCTCACAAGCATAAAATTTAGGGCAAATTTAGTCTAAATCCTTGGTTTGAAAATGACTAGCTCTGGGACCTTGGGTAATCTGACTCAAATCATCCAGAGTCTATTCAGCTTTAAGAATGAGATTATGAGAATTTATAGGATTGTGACCATTAAAAAAATATAGTGAACATTAAGTGTTTTGCAGTTAAAGGCATTTTCTTAAAAAGATAAAATAAAGCTCACCTCTTTAACAGGTAAAGCAAAAGTGTATGAGGCAATTGCTAAGAGAGTAGAACTATTGAAAAATGTAGATTAAAAATAAGAATACTTAGAAATTCAAGTTGGTATTTTTCCCAGTAGAAATGATACTTTCACAATGTCTCAGAAGAAGTATTATCAGCCATGGATAGTAAAAGGGTAGCATCTTTGCAAAGCAGTATATTTCACTGCAGGTTCACTGTAGGTCCTTAGATCTGACTCTATGTTATTTCCACTCATTGGTTCTAACTCTCTTTGTGCAAAAGAGATTATACCCTGTCTTCCACATGACACTCTGATTTCCCTTGGCCATTACTTAAATTTTATGGATTCTTGTCTTTTCATAATCTGTATAACATCCTTTTGAATCTTTGTAGAAAATGTGATACAGACCGACCAGCTCCTTGGTGAATAACTACATCGGTGTTTTTTTGTTTAATCTTTTTTATATGAACTTATTCCTCTTTGATAATGACACTAAATATTGCATTTTTTAAAAAAGCATATATGCTTACTTGAATTATATTTAATTAACTAAAAAAATCTGATTTGTTTTTTACAAAACAAGACTTTTTAAATTTGGACACATGGAATTTATTATTCGAATTAAATGTAGGATTTTTTATATCTAACCATAAGAAACTTTATTGCATATAATTTAAATCCTGGCCATTTGAGAGAAATGTATTATCTTGGTTCTTTCACACAATGTCCTAATATTCATCATTACCAAATGTTACATACATTTAGATGAAAATACATCCTGTAGGAAAGATATCTGAGGGATATCTTGGATATCTTGCTTCCTGAAAATATAAAAAGATTTCTCTATAAACAATGTTTTTCAACTGCAGGCATTTTTCTTCCCCGGGGGGGGGGGGAATTTTGATAATGTCAGGACAGAGTTTTGGTTGCTATGTTTTGAATGGAGAGAGCTATTGGCATCTTCTGGATAGAGACCAAGGATGCTATTAAACAATTTTCAGCACAGAGAATAACTACCCTCGAATAGTTATCCTGTCCAAAATGATAGGCATTGTACACATCAGCTGGCTAGAATAACACATCAACTTGCCAATAATCTTTGAATGAGCATTTGCTCAGTGTATCTGTCTCATTCACCAGAAGACTATTAAAAAACCATTTACCTTGAAATCAGGATGTAGAATAAGTTCCTCCTAATCTGTCAGTGAATCTAATGAAAAAAGGAATTAGCTTAGTTAGAAATGCTGCTTATTAGTTATTGCCACTTTTATAACATGGTCATAAAGCATCTATTAAAAATAATTCTGATTTTGACTTTTAGCTTATTGCTATATAATTTAAAATATACTTTGAGTATTTCTTTTGAAATCAGAGCATAGTAATGCTTCCTCTATTCTTCAAGTATCACATCTGCTTCCTAATAATTGTTAGTAGTAACCAGTATAACTGCCATGCTCGCATTTAAGTTGTCTGGAATGTAACTAGCCTCGAATGGACAGATAAACCTTGCAAGAGGCAATCTTATAATTATTTCCTCTTTACCTACCTTGAATGTCAATTCTAACTGGCCCTCTATTCCTTGGAGGACTAGTTAGAAGTGACCAGTTAAAATAATAAGTGTGTGATCCCTGGGCTGCTTAGCCCCTTCTAGAATCTCCAACGTGCACTCTCTTGTTTTATATCATCTTCAGCAGGTTATCCTGCTGCCATTTGGATCCTGAATATCTCCCAAAGGCCCATGAACTAAAGGCTTTATTGCAAATCTTTGGGGCTACTGGGAGGTGTTGGAACGTTAGGAGGGAGGGCCTACTGGAAGGAAATTGGGTCACTGGGGCATGCCTTTGGAGGAGACATGGTGATTCTGGGCCCTTCTCTCTTTTGCTTCCTGGCTACCATAACATGAGCAGCTTCCTAGGCTACATGCTTCTACCAGGTTGTATTATTTGATCACAGGCCTAAAGCAGCAGGACTAAGTGACCATGGAAACCACTGAAACTATGAACCAAAATAAACCCTTTCCCTTATTAAGTTGATTTTCTCAGGTATTTTGTCACGGTGAAAGAAAGCTCACACACACACACACATACACACACACACACACACACCATAATTGACTTTCTCTCCATCGTCCAACATCAGAATGCTCTTCAGAGAGGTGACTTCAAGGAGAGTGGGTAAGTAATTTAGGGAAGTTAAAGATGCCAATTAAAGCTGATTTCCTAATAGATTACTGCTATGGGCAATACTATGTGGGGAATTATAGGAGAGAGTAGAACAAGTTTCAGAATGGTTCCACCTGAGAACCAAGGAAATTGGGACATTTATCCATCACTCCCCCATCAATCTTTGGTAATGGGATGCTAGA